CTTCCGCCTCAGCCTTCCGAGTAGCCGGAATTACAGGCATGTGCTACCAAGCCTGGCTGATTTTTGATTTATTGTAGAGATGAGGTCTCGCTGCCCAGGCAGGTCTCGAACCCATGGGCTCAGGCCATCCACTCACCTCAGCCTCCCAACGGCGCGGGGATTACAGGCTGAGCCACCGAGCCCGGCTAAAATTTTACATTCTTTAATATGAGGCTACGTTGTTAAAATTTTTTATTTTATTTTTTTTTTGAGTTGGAGTCTCACTCTGTCGCCCAGACTGGAGTGCAGTGGCTGCTCCCGGCCACCGCAGCCTGGACCTGCTGGGCTCCAGCGATCCTTCCGCCTCAACCTTCCGAGTAGCTGGAATTACAGGTGCGCGCTACCACGCTTGGCTAATTTTTTGATTTTATTGTAGAGATGAGGTCTCGTCTGCCCAGGCGGGTCTCGAACCCGCGGGCTCAGGCAATCCATTCACCTCAGCCTCCCAAAGGTGCGGGATTACAGGCTGAGCCACCGAGCCCAGCTTGTTAAAATTATTACATACTTCCAGTGAATGGTAACTTGACTTTCAGTATTATTCAATCGCCATCTTATGCCTATTAATACTTTTGTCTTAAAGATGATTTTGTCTTGTATTAAAGTAGCCACAACAGTTTTTTTTAACATTTACCTGGTACATATATGTATTTTTATGCTTTTACCTTTTCTGTGTCCTTATCTTTTAGGTACAGCTTTTTTAAACAAGAGAGTTAAGATGTTAAAATCCCATCTCTCAAGGCTGGACGCGGCGGCTCAAGTCTGTAAACCCGGCACTTTGGGAGGCTGAGACGAGAGGACTGCCCGAGCTCAAGGGTTCAAGACCCACCTGGGCAACCTGGTGAGACCTCATCTCTACAATTAATCAAAAAAATAGCAGGTCGTGGTAGCGCACGCACATGTGGAAGGGTGAGGCGGAAGGACTGCCTGAGCCCACCAGGTCAAGGCTGGGTAACAGAGTGAGACTCCGACTCAAATCCCATCTGAGAACCTTCCTATCATGTGAGTCTGTTCACTGCTCTGGTTTATAATTCACTTTTAATGCTTAGCACTTGAGAATTTTCTTTTTCTCTTCTGATTTTATTACAGTGTTGAGTGTTTCTAAGTATCACAGGAAGATTTTCACTTCCAGTCAGAAAGTGAGATGCAAACAGGCTCATTCCTTCTAGAAAGCAGCCCCACTCTTCTGTTTTACCCCGTGGATAACATTTAGACATCTTTACTTAATACAACATGCATGTGAATACTGTTAAGTCTCCTACATATAAAGCTTCAAGTTACAAACTTGAATGATGCACACTTGTGTTTTTTTTATTTTTTGTTTTTGTTTTTTTTTGAGTTGGAGTCTCACTCTGTCGCCCAGACTGGAGTGCAGTGGCACGCTCCTGGCCACCGCAGCCTCGACCTGTTGGGCTCCGGCAATCCTTCCGCCTCAGCCTTCCAAGTAGCTGGAACTATCGGCGCACGCTACCACACCCGGCTAATATTTTGATTTATTGTAGAGATGAGGTCTCACCAACTTGCCCAGGCGGGTCTCAAACCCGTGGGCTCAGGCAATCCATTCACCTCAGCCTCCCAAGGCGCGGTATTACGGGCTGAGCCACTGAGTCCGGCTCACACCCTAATATTTACGCATCAGTTCCTCATCCTCGCCTGATGAGGCATGATATGTGTCACAAGACTAATTAAAGAGTAAAATATCAAGGTGTGTATTTGTAGGAAAAAAAATCCATTTTAGAGGCCTGAATAGAGGCATCACAGAAGTATGGACAGCAGTGTGAGAACTCTGGCGCCCTGCACGCTACAGAGACCCTGCTCAGCCCGGCTGCCGTAGCTGCCACTGTCCTGTGCACGGTCCATTACCTGTCTCCTGCCCTCCAAGGTGAAGAGCTCACTGATCTTCTTCTGCTTGTAAACATCATTCTTCTCCAGCAGTTTTTTGTGCAGCCAGTCAGGGTGTTTGACACGTGGCACTGGGTTCTTTACCTACATGAAGATGAAACCCATCAGGAAGACACCCTTTAACTCCGCTGGTTCTCAGTTCCTGGGGGTCCCATGTGCACTGGTTCCTGCCCTCACCTGCTGCAGAGCTGCAGGGATTGTGATGATCTTCTGGATGGCACTTCCCAACCGCTCGATGTAGTAATCCCAATCCAGAATCTGAGCATGCAAGAACCAGTGGAGAAACATCAATGGCAGCAACTACTCGTAAAGCTTTATTCCACGATGGGTGCCATGCTAAGTGCTTTGTGTTTTATTAATCCTCTTAGAAATCCTATGATGGGCCAGGCACGGTGGCTCACACCTATAATCCCAGCACTTTGGGAGGCCGAGGTGAGAGGACTGACTGAGCCCACAGGTTCAAGAATAGCCTGGACAACTTGGCGAGATCTCATCTTTACAGTAAATCAAAGAATTAGCTGGGCGTGGTGGCACGTGCCTGCAGTTCCAGCTACTTGGAAGGCTGAGGTGGAAGGATCACCTGAGCCCAGCAGGTTAAGGCTGCGGTGGCCGTGAGTGTGCCACTGCACTTCAGCCTGGGCAACGGAGTGAGACTCCAACTCAGAAAAAGAAATCCTATGATGAAATGTGCCCATTTCATAGAAGAGTACATTGAGGCAAGGAGCATAAATGACTCTGCCAGATCACAGAGCTAGTAGGTGCTGAACTAGCCCTTAGCCTTAGTCATTCCAAGAGATAGTTAAAGGGACCCCTCACATTTAGTTCTTTCGGTTTTGCCCTGAAGGGTGACTAATTCCTCACCTACTACATATCAGAAAGGACAAAGTTAAGAGTGAAGACTCCAAAGAGAGAGTACCTAATTCAAGTATATTCTACTCTGCTCAATTTTCTTCCTAAATATTTGAGTAGAAAAAATAACTGGCACTCACTGTCCGAATATCAAAGTCTTGAAGGGAAGAGCTCTTAAGCCACTTTCGGAGAAAATGCTTCCGCACTGTGGGCTCTGCTTGGAAAATGGCGAGTGGGATGGCCCTGGGAAGAAAAACAGACATGAAGCTCATCAACAGTGAAAATCACCCAAATCCGAATACAATTCTTATCAAATGTACACGGAAATGAGGATTTACAACCTAGTTTGTAACTTACATTTTATTTAACTTTATTTTGTACAAATTACACCTTGTATACAATGTTCATAATATTTAATTAACTATGTAATACTCCATATTAAAAAACCTGGTATAATGTGCTGTGCCCTCCTCCCTTTCCTGCCAGTCATTTGGTCTGTTTTTCGTGTTTAGCCACTGTTAATAGCTGTTCACAAATGATCTCATGTAAGTTATACACGGGAAGTCTCCAACATACAAATGAGCTCCATTACAAGAGTGCATCTGTAAGTTCAACAAAGCTAATCTAGGTACACAGCTAACACGATTGGCTAGATAGTAGTATATGTGTTTAACAGGCTACACTGACACCTGGTGGAGAGAAATAATACATTAAAAAACGCAAGTGAGCTGGGCCGGTGGCTCAGCCTGTAATCCCGCGCCTTTGGGAGGCTGAGGTGAGTTGATTGCCTGAGCCTGCGGGTTCGAGACCGCCTGGGCAGCGAGACCTCATCTCTACAATAAAATAAAAAAATCAGCCGGGCGTGGTAGCGCATGCCTTTAATTCCGACTACTTTGGAAGGCTGAGGCGGAAGGATTGCCGGAGCCCAGCAGGTGGAGGCTGCGGTGGCTGGGAGCAGCCACTGCACTCCAGTCTGGGCGACAGAGTGAGACTCCAACTCAAAAAAAAACAAAAACAAAAAATAAAAAAAACACAAGTGTGCATCATTCAAGTTTGTAACTTGAAGCTTTATATGTAGGAGACTTAACAGTATTCACATGCATGTTGTATTAAGTAAAGATGTCTAAATGTTATCCACGGGGTAAAACAGAAGAGTGGGGCTGCTTTCTAGAAGGAATGAGCCTGTTTGCATGTCACTTTGACTGGAGTAAATTTTGTGAACTATTATACAAATAAAGAAATCGGTTGGGTGCAGTGGCTCACGCCTATAAGCCCAGCACTTTGGAAGGCCAAGGTGAGAAGACTGCATGAGCCCAGGAGTTGGGAGACCAGTCTAGGCAACTTGGCGAGACCTCATCTCTACAATAAATCAAGAAAAATTAGCTGGGCATGGTGGCGCGTGCGTATAGTTCCAGCTACTTGGAAGGCTGAGGTGGAAGGATGGCCTGAGCCCAGTCGTTTGAGGTTACGCTGGCTATGAGCATGCCACTGCACTCTAGTCTGGGTGACAGAGTGAGACTCTAACTCAAAAAGAAAAAGAGAGAAAGAAACCTAGGGAGGACACACACCCCTGCACACCCAGGCAATTTTATCAGGCTTCAACACGCTGCCACTTGCACCTCCAACGTGAGGGATGATGATAAGAGTGAAGCCCTGTGTGGTCCCCAATCTGTTGCCTCTCAAACAGAAGTAAACAGGACCCATATTCTGGTGTTATTAATCCCATGCAGGAATTTGACTACGCCAATTTGTATGTAACCATTAAAAACAAAGCAGTTGCCGGGCTCAGTGGCTCAGCCTGTAATCCCGCGCCTTTGGGAGGCTGAGGTGAGTGGATTGCCTGAGCCCGCGGGTTCGAGACCCGCCTGGGCGGCGAGACTCATCTCTACAATAAATCAAAAAATCAGCCGGGCGTGGTAGCGCATGCCTGTAATTCCGGCTACTCAGAAGGTTGAGGTGGAAGGATCGCCAGAGCCCAGCAGGTCGAGGCTGCGGTGGCCGGGAGCGGCCACTGCACTCCAGTCTGGGCGACAGAGTGAGACTCCAACTCAAAAAAAAAAAAAAAAAAAAAAAAAGCAGTTTCCATGTTTTTAGGTTTTATGTAGATAGAGGCACATGCATCACCCTGCAGTCTGCTTTTTGACAAACTGTTTCAAATACTGTCAGTGCTGTAACCTGCACTGCAATTCAATCCTTTGAACTCCTCTACAGTAACTCATTGCCAAAAAACACAACTACCCAAAGCTGGCTGATGGACACTGATGCCATCCCCCAATCGGGTATTAAACAAAGTCCAAATCTGTAAGGAAGCCCTACCGCTCGGTGACAGGAGAACCCTCGGGCTTGCGAGAGATGATATAGCGGCAGCTCAGCCCCGCGTCCTTGACCATCTGGTCTCCCAGGAACTCAGCAAGGCGCTTGGCTGTGCTGATGGACGTCGACTTCTGCTCCCCATAATCTTCCAGCTTCCGAGACATGGAACGGTTCTCAGAGATCAACTCGAACAGCTCAGAATCAGGCATGTTAGCTGCCTAGAGAAAGAGGCAGAGGGTAAGACACCGCAGAAGTCAAGGGGCATCCAGCTCATCTAGGACAGTGCACTGTGGAGACATGCACCTCTTCAGCCTCAGAAGCTGAAGGTTGCATGGAATCTCCTTTTTTTTTGGGGTCAGAGTCTCACTCTGGAGTGCAGTGGCACGCTCACAGCCTCCACAGCCTCGACCGGCTGGGCTAAAGCAATCCTTCCATCTCAGCCTTCCAAACAGCTAGAACTACAGTTACGCACCACCACACCCAGCTAATTTTTACTCATTGTAGAGACGAGATCTCTCCAAGTTACCCAGGCTGAACTCGAACCCTGGGCTCAGGCAATCCTCTCCCCTCTGCCTCTCAAAGTGCTGGGATTGTAGGTGAGAGCCACTGCACCCAGAGAATGTCACAATTACAAAGGGCTGTCTCACACTCCGGTAGCGCAGCACTTTAAAACACACACGGCTGGGTTCAGTGGCTCAGCCTGTAATCCCAGCACTTTGGGAGGCTGGGGGGAGTGGACTGCCTGAGCCCGTAGGTTTGAGAGCAGCCCGGGCAACTTGGTGAGACCTCATCCCTACAATAAAAAAATTACCGAGTGTGGTAGTGTGCGCCCGTAGTTCCGGCTACTTGGAAGGCTGCGGCAGAAGGATCCCCAGAGCCCAGTAGGTTGACACTGGGGTGGCCATGAGCGTGCTACTGCACTCCAGCCTGGGCGACAGTGAGATTCCAACTCAAAAAGAGAAAAAGACACACAGAGAG